AATAAAGGGATAGGGATGGGAGGCGCGGGGGGGAGAGAGAGAGAGAGAGAGAGAGAGAGAGAGAGAGAGAGAGAGAGAGAGAGGATACTATTAGTTAGGGAATAAGGGAAGAAGTATAGCTGTTGTATTATGTGAGAAAAGAACTTAGAGGCATATCTCAAAAAAGTACATAATATGGAGAAGCTTGCATGGGCACTAATGACCTCAGTAATGAAACTTATACCATCCTTTGAAGCCAATATAATTCAAGTGCTGAAATAATCTAAGGCACTCGCAGTAAAAGGTTTTGTTAAATTTTTCACAACTAAGGTACGTGGTGTAGAGTGATTATTGGCTGCCCACAAGCTTGTGACAACACCATCCCCTCCTCTTATTTTAGCATCCAAAACCTAGCCTTTCTCTTTGGAAAGGAGGTAGAGAAGGTAATCACGATCCATGTCATTTTACAAATAAGGATAAACTTTGCTTTCTTCTTGTGGTTCTTATTTACAGATCCAACTGCCTTCATTTGATCCATTGAGAACTACATGCAGCTATACTTAAAAGACTACATCGTCAATACATGATAAAATAAATTGAGTGACCGTGGTAATTTTTTCTCATGAAGGTGAAAGACAGATGAGATGATGGACACCACCATGCTCAGTAACACTTGTGCCATGACAACTACATAAAAAGTGATGATTTCCCCAATCTTATAGCACATTAGAAATCCGAACCCTAGTGGAAGGTGATCGAAGGGTACCACAAGCACATTCTCATATAATGTGTTCAATTAGTCAAAATCCTCCGTAGGTTGGGTCGTTGTGCAAAAAATAGTATGCATGCTACATAAATTTAACGTACTCATCCAACTTCCTCGAGACTAGAAATCCTATAAGTTATACAATATTAATACTCACATGGGTTGTGTTGTCACCGCTATCATCAACCCCTCTATTACTACCAACTAGTTCATTAAAATGACACCCATCATGAAGTTGAACATCTGCAGATTTCATAGAGACCATTGTCAAAATTGCCAGTAGAGGCATCACTCTTTATAGGAAGAAGTGTATTGGTTCAGTCATATCTTGTAGCTATACCAACACATGCTATGACTCAGGGTGAGGTCCCGTAAGTAGTACTGCTTCAAATTGAAAGAATTTTCTCCACTTAATTCGTAAAATGCAATTGAATGTTGGTGGTATGCACTGTGGCCTGGGACAAGTTGTATCGTCCTATCAGGATTGGAGGACTTGGCCTTCATTCTGTCTTATGGTGGAAGGGCCCTCCTTGGGCCCATCTTATTTTAGATTTCCTTAGTAATTTATCACTAGAAGGTAAACACAGAAAGGATTTATGGAGGAATATCTGATAGAGGGGCTTTTCATCTGCATGGAAGGTTTTTTGTGATAGGCCTCGGCTTTTCAATCTGTGCTGCGTTGGAAAATTTTTACGAACAACAAGGTCACTATGCTTTTCCGCAACTGGATCTTTGATCTTCCTTTGATTAAAAGGTCTACATTTCTTAGCATTGATGTGCCTGTGAATTCTATGGCAGCAAACTTTATTAATGGTTGCGGTGGTTCCAGTAGTGAGATCATTCATTAATACTTTGGGCCAACTGTTGTGAAGCGAATCTTGCATGCTGTAATCCATTCATTTTTTATAGGATGATACACCTAAACGCATATGATCAAATTTGGCTAAGATGAGTACTACTCATTCATTTGATAGCAGCTTTTTTACTGAATGTCCTGAAACTAGATGGGTGAAAAAGCTAACGTTTATCCTACGTAGTAGGTAATTTGGTGAAGGTTGCAAAGAGACGTCATTCCTACTCAGGCGTGGCTGTACGAGAATGGGTTAAAGGACTCTCCAAATTATCTTTGCGGATGTCAAGACTGAGAATCCATAGTTCATATAACAGGTGAATGTATTAAGGTTAGAGAAGTTTGTGAAATTATGAAAAGGTGGGAATTTGGACTTCCAGATGCTAGAGAATTCAACTCTCTTTTGATGCAGCTTAAGCAGAGTGTAGAGGATAATTTGATCTTGGAGAAGTTATATTGCCATGTGATTTACCAGTTATGTCAGGCTCTGAATGCAAAGGTGCATGGGAGTCCTTTTGTATCAGCTCCAATTTTTGTTGCTACTGTCTTGCCTACTCTTACCCACGCACATGGACCCCTTATCTTGGAGAAAAGTAAAACTATTCATCCTTATAGGTTGATAAACAGGTTATTGTGTCCTCTATCTTGGATGGATTTAATTTAGCATGGACGGTGCTCAGTTGTCTTCTTATTCAGCTTGGATTGGACTTGTCTTGCGGGATGAGCAAGGAGATCTTAAATTTTTTATTGGAATGCAATTGGAACACTGGACAACATTTAAGTAGAATACTTTGCTATACTGCTCTTAAAGATCCTTTGGAGGAGTAGATGTTTAAATTTATTGGGCCAATCATTGAAAGTGATTAGTATTATAAGTTGACAGTAAAAATCTATGTTGGAGATAGAATGAAGATAGAATCCATATTTCATAGCTGACTTTGCTTTTCTTACTAAATTTCCTGATGTAATTTTGAAATTTGTTTGCAGAATTTGTAATAAAGCAACTGATTATTGTGCAAAGCTTGCCTTAGAAATTTCTTTTCAGTTATAAGGGAGATGATTGCGGGAATCTCCCAAAGAGTTTCTCTAGTTTGGTGAGTGAGGAGAAAGGAAGCTTTATACCTCCCAAGACTGAATTGTGTTTCCCTTCTATTTTTAAATGCAAATATGCACTTTCTTTCTCATAACAATATTCAAATACTTATGTTTGGCCATTTTTTCTCACCTGCCCCCGGTAATAGCACTTGGGAGACTAATCCAACCTCAGTAAAGGTGACCACCCTTGCTCTCTCAATTACTGGGTGCCCCAATGTCACTTGTGTCCTTATTTTGTATGATAATGGGCTCATCCTGCATATCAGGAATTAGGACAATCCTCATAATTGTATTAATACCATGACAAGTAGCAAAATTGCATAATCCAAGCTACACATATTATTTGTAAAGTGTAAGCTGATCATATAATTTTTGGGAAAACTTTTAGACAAAATTAACATAATTGATGCAACATCATAGCTTCACAGATCTAACACCATAGAGCCACAATTACCTCAATTGTAGAGCACCAACATTCCAACCCCACAATGGTATAAGGCCTGGAAAATTGTTGGATAGATTCACACCGAGCTAGATAAGGAGTCGTAGCACCAAATTAACCGAGCATCATGGTGGAGGATAATTAGAAAGGGATAAACCAGTAAAATGTGGACTTAATTGTTAAATCGACATCTCAATTTACTAATGTTGTAGCGCTAGTACAGTTATTTTTTATTTCTATATATAGGAAGCTTATATCACATCTAAGGGGTTTTCCATATATAGAGATACTAGGGAGTTTGTTTTTGAGTGTGTGAGGTTGATTCTAAAGGAGGTTATCCCTTTTGTATTTGTTGTGTTAGTCTAGTACTAGTATGGATAGAAGGAAGGAGAACAAGGAGTTTGTATTGCTTAGGAAAGATTATTTGGTTAATTTCTATCTTTATTTTCTAGCCCGAATTTTTATTACTCATTAAAAATTTTGTTGTGTTTAATTTTATCTCTATGATTTGTTAATTTATTTTCTCTGAGCTAATGATAGTTTAGAATTCATCTATTAGTTAGAGTAGATTTATAAGTATATGAATTTCTTAATTTTTTAAAATTAATTTATGCTTAATTTATATTTTGTATATGCCATGCATAAACATAAAACAAAGTTTGATATATTGCCTTGATGGAGTAGAAGAACAAATAGGAGAATTAACTTTCAATGTTTTCATGAATAGACATATGGTGGATAGTGTTATTGGATATTTATGAGATATTAGGATTTAGTTGAGGAGAATCTTAGTTAAAACTTTAATGAGTTCAATATAGATGTGGAGTGTTTTATACTCTGATTCACCAAAACGTTTGGAAGAAGTCTCTCTATTACCAACATGTATTTTGAAATATCATAAATTTAGAGTCATTAAAAATATTAAGTTTATCTTTTTGAATTATTAGTTCATACTTTTAATTGATTTACTCCTTGTAATTGACAGATAAGATAAATCAAGTTGTTAAAAAAAAAAAAAAAAAATTCAAGTTGTTTTATTAAGCATTACTCATCACATCACTACATTACTTGACATGGCAGATATACATGCCTAAAATTGGAGGTACAACTTTGCATAACAAACCACATTTATAAAGACAAGTAGTGGGTGGAAAAAGAAAAAGACCTATCATGTTTTTTCTGCCAGTACATGGGAACTTATTTTAATTATTATGACTTGTATTTTATAGCTAAACAAACTGTTAATTTAATCTTGTTCTTATTTTTTAACTTGATCTATTTTCCATTCTTAGCTTAATTAGATGAAAAATTTTTATTGTTGTTTTTTAATTGCTAACTATTTGTGTTTACAAGTCTCTTATTATGTTGTTTATTGTTGCATGTGTTGTAATAAACAAAAAATTAAAATTTTATTTGAGGTGTAAATTAAAAATACTATTATAAATATGTTAAAAACAAAAAAAAAATATAAAATGATTGAACAAATTTAAGAGAATGATCAACCTAGACTACTTAGGGAATATACCAATCCATTGATTGAATGCATTTACCAAAGTATTAATAGACAATATATTTAGGGAAACAATTTCAAGCTGAAACTTGCAATAATTCAAATGGTATGAAATTCATTGTCTGGGGGACCCTATAGAAGATCCTAACCTGAATATAGCTGGTTTTCTATAAATATGCACCACTTAATAATATAATAGTGTATCTGATGATGCTATTAGACTTAGTTTTTTTTTTTTTTTTTTTGAGATAAAAAAAGTTAGATGTTGTTAAGCAAGTTACTCATAAGCTCAATCACTACCTAGAATGACTTAGATAATATAGTTTTAGCTAAATACTTTCTCCCATCTAACATTGCAAAGCTTAGAAATGATATCACTGCATTTATCCAGTTAGATGGTGATTCATTTTAAGAAGCTTGGGAAAGATTTAAAGAATTACTTAGTATGTGTCCCGACCATGCCACACCCAGTTGGATCATTCATCAGACCTTTTATAGTGGTTTGGTAAGTCTTCTTAGATCCATTATTCGTGTAATTACTTATGTATCGCTAATGTATATATAAACACTTTGATGATGATTTTTCTTTCTTAAAATAAATGTGCACCAATCAGTTCCAATGGTTGTCTAGAAGATTTAATCCTACAAAGTAGCTAGTGTGTATAAATTTGATGCTCTTCCAAATTTAACTTCATTGGTAGATGTTATAGCTTGAAAGAATGGAAATAGTAGAATCAATCCATCTTAGAGCACACCTTTGCATGTATAAGAGAGTATGTTTGGATCTTCTAGTGACCCAGATGTTGAGAGAGTTGCTATTTGCATGCTTTACCTTATTGTAACTTGTATAGTTTTAATAATTTGAAATATTATTGTTTTAAGTTTTTGTTTTATCCTAACACTTTTTTGAAGAATTATGTTTTTTCATGTGAGGACTAATATTTCAGGATAATCGAACTCCAGACTAATGACGACTTCAAATAAAATTCAGCATGAGATAGTTTATAAATTGAAGTTTATAATTTTTATTGTAATTGAGTTTGAAAAAATATGATTGTAATTGAATAGCTTATCATACACACTTGGGGAGATCTTTAAAAATCACACTAATCTTACGGGACGAACCATGTTCGTACAAGATGAACCATGTTCGTACGGGATGATCAAGTCAGTTAATCCCCTCAGAAGAGCAATGGAATGAATAGGAAGTGGAAAATTTTTCTAAGTCCTGATCGTCTAGACAAATTTCCCAATTTATCCCGAGATGATCTATTCTGGATTCCCACTTTGTGCTGATAGTCCAAATGATTAATCCTATTCGTGCTAGGATGAAACTCTCTAGAAAATTTTCGTCCAGACGAAATTCTATATTCCTCCCAGGATGAAACACTCAGGAAAATTTTTGTCCAGTCAAAATTCTATATTCGTCCCAGGACAAAACTCTTTAAAAAATTTTCATCCAGACGAACTCCTATTCGTCCCAGGACAAATTGTTCTGTCTCTTGAAATTTTGAGAACGTCCTGCAGTTTATCGAAACCAACCCATAATATAAATGTTTGTACCGGACAAACTTAGTTCGTACAGGACGATGATCGTGTTACGGATCTGTTTTCATGGTTTATGATTTTGATGATAGCAAACACTCTTATTTCTCTATGATTGCCTTATTTACAGATATTTCAGGTTCACAAGATCAAGACTGTATTTTGGAATCAGCTCAAGACTAGGTAGATTAGGTCTGAGTCAGTTTGTACCACTTTTTTCTTTCTTGAGTCTATTGTATTTGGTGTGACTCCTGATACTATGTAACATTGCACACATACACCTTAGAAGAATTTTTGACAGTTTCCTAGAGTTTACTGTTTTTGGTAACATCGTCCGGGATGATATTTATATCGGCCTACACGATCGGTTCAAAAATAGAAACCTTGATTAGAGCATCATCCTTGTTATGGCAACCGTTATTAAACACATCGTCTTGGATGATTTTGTATCGGCCAGGATGATCAGCTCAATTCAGAAAGAATCTGCCGCCAGATCTATTTAGGAATTACTTATTTTTGGACATCATCCCGGTGGATCTGCCTGGCCTATCAAGATCGGCTTGGCTGATCCAGAATAATTTTTCTTAAATATATTTGGCAATTAAAAAAAGAAATTAATGGTGATTTTCACGATCACATTGTCAGGCCAATCGGAGGATCGTTCGGGCCGATCAGAGGATCGTCCGGGCCGATTTGATATTGGCTAGCATCTTTTCAGGGAAATGTTCAGGATGATTTTTCTCATATTTGAACTAATCGTCCAGGATGATATCCGATCAGCCCAGACGATATGACCAAAAATTGTCTAATCGTCCCTAACTAATCGGGCGGATTGAGCATAATTTATGTTGATAGGCCAGGCCGATATTTATATCGGTCGTGAAGATAAAGTTGGCAAGTTGCATTAATAATCTCATTTTGAGATCTTCTATTTAAGCTTTTGACTAGGCACTTTTGAAAGTGTCTTTGGCAACCATTATAGCTTTGTTCTTATGGAGGAAACTTGAAGAGGGAGCATGAAAGGGAGAGAGGAAAGGGTGGAGTTTGAGAGAGGGAGAAGATCCATGGAGGGGGTTTCAAGCGACGGGTTTTACACAGTTGCTCCGGCGAGCTTTTACCTTAATACCATTGGATTCAAGGCTTGTCTTGAGGGAAGTTTTGGGAAGAAGAAGATATCTTTGGTGTCAAAGGACCCGGCGACTCCGCCACACCGAGGAAGGTGAAAGTGATTTTGTAAGGGATTCTCCACCTAGTTGGAGGGGGCTAAAGAAGAGACACTTATTTTAGTGTAATACTCAGAGGGTGTCTCCGAGGAGTAGACGTAGGTTAAGGTTTTACCAAACTACTATAAATCTGGTGTGTTCTTTCCTTTATTACTTATGCATTTATTTTTCCACATTATGTTTTTCATTGTGGTGAATCTTGGTGTTGGTTTTAAGTTTGAGTTTTGTTTAAATACTGATTCATCTCTCTCTCTTAATTAGCCTTCAGGCGGTTCATAGGGCTTAACATCCCCAACAAACTTTTAAGTGGTATCAGAGCGGGATTCATAAACATAAGTTTTTAAAAACTTTTGAATTTTTGATCCATAGCTAATTTTTCTAATCGTAATATTACGGAAGGTTATTCAATGACAAGACCACCTTTGTTTGAAAATATTACATTTAATTTTTAGAAAATTTGCATATCTACTTTCTTGCAATCGATTGATTTTTGTATGTGGCATATGATTTTAACTGGTTATTCATTACCATCACATGTTTTAAATGGAGTTAAAATTGATATTCCTTTTAATCAATGGAAAAGGGAAGAACAAATCAATGCTCAATTGAATGCAAAATCTTTAAATTGCTTTTTCTATGCTTTAAATTCTAAAGATTTTATGTTAGTTTTCACGTGCACTACTGGTAAGGAAATTTGGGATAAACTACACATAATATACGAAGGCACTAGTGAAATCAAGCAATCCAAGTTGAATGTGTTAATGCATGATTATGAAATATTTTCCATGAAACCTTATGAAACAATCTTAGACATGTATACTAAGTTTAATCAAATTGTGACATCATTGCATGCTTTAGGTAAAGAATTTTCAAATTTTGAAAAGGTTAATAAAATTTTTCGTTGTCTACTAAATAAAGTTGATGCTAAAGTTGTTGTCATTTATGAATCAAAAGATTTGAATGAATATTCTATTGATAATTTGATTGGATCACTCATTTCTTACAAGTAAAGTTTGGGTCAAAGACTTTTGGATTCTGGTGAAACAATAGTGCTAAAAGCTGAAGATATGGAAAAATGTAGTTTAGTTGGTGACGAAAGCAATGACTTGACAAGCAAATTAAAATGCTCACCAAAACATAAGCATAAAAAAAAGTGAAATAAAGGTAAAAATTTCTTCTGACGTTATTTGCTTTGTATGTAGGAAGCCTGGACATATGAAAAATCAGTGCCCTAATTTGAGAATTATTCATGCAAAAGAAAAGGTTAAAACAAAGCAAATTATAAATTGGGGAAATAATGAAAAGCAAAAAATTTCTTGTGCAGACCTTGCTTCTGAATCATCTAATCAGGAGCAAGATGATGCTTAAACCTTTGTTTGTATGTTTATGTTTACATATTTTATTTGTTTTTTTATTTTATTTATTTTCCTTTTTTTTCGTTAAATTTTTTATGTGTCATTTCTGATCTAACACACACATCACCTTTCTAAAAATGAAAAACCTACCTCCTATTTTTTCCTAAATTCTTATGAAAATTGTGTTTGACTTCTCTAAAAATAGTCAAAGGAGGGAAACTCATATTTTTGACTCTCAATTTCTGTTTTCTAAAAGAGGTTATTGTACTTTTGATTTAAAATCTTCATCATATTTTAAATTGGATTTTGAAACTGAACTTTTTTCATCTCCCTATATTTTATCTATCACATAGGAATCTTTTACAAGTTATTGAATCTACCTCATAATTTTTCTAATCAAGTAGTTTGTTATGTCAATAGAATGGGTTTACTTTTATTTTTAAAATTTAAAAAATGTAGTATATTCAAAAAAAAGGAAGGCCAATGATGCCAAATAAAAAAAAGTAGCCAAAGATGTCAAATCAAAATATGCGCAATTATGCCAAATTGAGAAAGATACACAAAGTGTATCAAAAGAAAAAGATGCACAAAGTACGTCAAAAACTGACAAGAGGCATAAAATGAGCCCACAAGGAGTATGCTTACCTTTTTTGTTTTATTCAAAGCTTAAGAAACCCTTGATATTTTTGATGCTTGAGTTTGAAAATTATGATTCCTGATTCAATAATTCGTGCATTAATCTTCCATTAGATATATTTTTTGGAAGGAGTTTTAAAAAATGACTGTTTCTTTCTCTAATTTATTTCTTGATTTAGATAGTGAATTAAAAACTTGTTGAGCCTTTTAAAGAACTTGAGTTTAGATTATCAAATTCTAAATTTCTAACCTTTTCTAGGCTGTGATTGTCAATACAACTCTACTAAGTTTTTGATTAAAACAAGAGGTAACTTTTTCATTTAAAGAATATTTATTTTGTTCACTAGATCAGGGATCATTTTTATCTTTTAATCATTTTGTTCTTATTATTTGTGCCCCTTCCCTTTTTTATAATGTCAAAGGGGGAGAACGTACTATTGAATTTGTATCTTTTTTTTTTTAATATTTTTTTTCTTTCAAAAATTAAAAACAACAAAATTTTTTATCTCCCCTATTCTTAAAAGTTTTATTCTAGTGAGGGGGAGATAAGGAGAAAATATTTTTTTTGCAAATTCAAATAGTAATATTTGCAATTATAAAAAAAGGGTAGATTTTTGTGGATCTGTTTTCATGGTTTATGATTTTGATGATAACAAATGCTCTTATTTCTCTACGATTGTCTTATCTACTGACATTTTAGGTTCAT